TTCTTTTGGACTGATGCATGCAACACCCGCTGAGTGGCATTAAACAGCTTGAAAGATCAAAGACAATTTTTAATATAACTCCGACTGGATTCGTCTGAAAGAAGAAAGTCATATACACCTAGGATGACTTGAGGGTGAGTAATTTATGGGCTAATTTCTAATTTTTGGGGGAACTAACCCTTTAAGTTTGTGATAAGTAGCACCTGTGACTCTCTACCTGGTGATCATTGGACTTCACTTTTGTTTTTTTAATTCTTGAGGGAAGTGTTATTGTATGATTCACTGAAGAAGGCTTTTTGCTGAAACGTCTGATTGTTGATTGCTCTGTTGCAAAATAAAAATAAACTATAATTTATTAAGAAGATACAGCGAGTGCAGATCCTTTATCTCATAGTGTTGTTCAAATTTCTTAAAATTAAAAAATTTGAAAGCTGAGACTGTGTTTCATACCAAAAGTAACCTGCTCAGTCTTGCCTGTTTGCGCGTTGTGAGTTTCCTCTTTGCTCCGCAATGTATTTTTCACTGTGTGAGAACATCATGTGTGGCGTGAGAGCGCCATGGCTTGTCGGACAAAGCAACAGTAACGAAGGGGGGCAGGTCTTTGCAAAGGGTCAATTAAGGCAGTTCTGAAGGTAAAAGGGGTCCAACCCAGTACTAGCAAGGTACTTACCTAAGAATGTGTCTGAGTGTACATTACTGGTTTTAATGTAAATTCAGATAATAGATCTCAATCAGGTTAGATGCCACACTGAATTTAACGTGAATGAAAACAAGGCTGTGAGGGATAGACTTACAGTCTTTACAATGGCACGCACTGTATAAAGGTCCTAAATCATGGAATTTTATTTTGGAAACTCATAACGTTTAAGTTTTATGGAGTTGTTGTCACTGAAAGATTATTATTTTCCAGAAAGTTGTTTATGAACAATTGGTATGCATTTCTTTCCCTCACAGCTTTGTTTTCATTTCTGTCAAAAAGTAAACATGGCGCTACCCTGCCTAAGGTCTATAGAAGTTCAACTAACAAGTTTAACAAATAGGTTTTGTACTATAGAGCAGATGAAGAATATCTGGGGTCTAGAAGAACAGCTCAATTATAGAGTTTAAAGCTCATGTCGACCATCATTGAATGTCTATCAGCTCAGTTTTTGCAGTGTTTTCCACACCGTCGGCACTAGTCAGATCCTTTATCTGCATGGCCAGACATGGATGTTTTGAATGAAGAAAATGAAGAGCAACTGTTCAACATAATTCAAATTCAACATGGTAAGCAAGTGCTGCTTTGTTTACAGTGTGTTTTCGGTTTCCCTTTTTGAATCATAAATACAGACTACTGCCACCTGCTGGTCTGGAGAGGTAATTCCTCTCATGCAGGCACAGAACGTACTAGTGATGGGAAGTTCGGATCATTTTACCGACTCGGACCTTTGAGTCTCATTCAGCAAAATGAACGAATCTTTTTTCTAGTCATTTCATTCATTTTAACAAAATATAATTAAAATGTTACGTGTTACTTCCCTAATATGTCTACTACTTACGCAAACGTTGATCACACTACAAACAATACAAAACTGCTATAAGAAACAGAAAAGATTAATTAATTGTTTACCCGAGTCTTCAGTCTATGATTAGCTCACCACCTCTTATCTGACAAGTCTTCGGGTTTGGGCTTATGGGGCTGTCACGTGATGAACGATCGACTCGAAAAACCCGAAGACTCGAGATGAACTAATCAATTCTCTTTCCGGCTCAGACTGCATTGGTTAAAGCTTATGGGGCTGTCACGTGATGAACGAACGACTCGGAAAAACACGAAGACTCGAAACAGGTGAACTACTTGACTAATTCCAGTACAGAACCTATAGGATGTTGCGCATGCGCGACTGAACAAATCACTCCCCGAGACGACTCATTCTTCCCTGAGTCACATTAAAGATTCGTTCAAAACGAACGAATCGTTCAAGAACTACCCAACACTAGAACGTACGTGCTAGTGCAACCTTTTGGCAGGTAACGTGAGGTTTTCATCGCCGCTTGTTCTTTGATGTCTGCTTGGTATGTGACACAGCCTTTAGAGTTTATACTATGGAGTATATATGTTTTGGTTGTGAGTTTCATCTAGAATTTGGGAGCTGGGATCTTACCTCTCTTGTCCAGCTGTGTCCCATAACTGCAGCACTGTTGGAACACCATCCACCACCAAGGTTTTCATCTGAAAATCAACCCCTGCAATGAAACAGACACAAAAGATTTCACAATCTCTGTGACAGTTAGAGATTATATTCAAGTGTGGTAAAGTGTTAGAAAAGTCTTACCCAGTGTGGCACTAGTGTTGCCTTTGAACTCGTTCTTACAGAGGCGAATGAGGAAACTAGACTTTCCCACTGCAGCGTCTCCCGCCAGCACAATCCTGTAAGCATTCTCCGATGGAGGCTGAGTCACTGCCAACACATCCTGCTCTCTCTGCACACGCACGCACGCACGCACACACAAACAAACACATGCACACAAACACACATTTGGGCTTTAGAACTGAGATTTGTTTTGAGTTCAGGATTTTGAATGCCGTGGGTCAAATTTAAGGCTTTATGACACTTCTGGAAGGTGAATTCAGTACCTCGGTGAAGATGGCAGAGAGGCATTTCTTCCCTGAAGCAGTAACATCGCTTTTCTGAGCAGGCTGTGAAAGAGTCCAGCTCAGAACGGATTCGCTGTCCGACCCGATAGCAGCCTCTTCTCGTTCTTCTAGAACCTGTGAGAGCACACAGCTTACTTTAAAACATTAGTCTGAGTCTCACTGATAAAGAAATGACAGCACGTTAAGTACACAGAGAGATGCCTTTGAATTATTCATTACCCGTTCATATTTGCCTTTTACGTATAAAGCTTTTATTCTTCAGTATTAAAAAAAAATCATATTCATTATGTAAAAAAAGTGATCAAATAATCACAATCGCTCATAACAATTACCTAAAGAAAGTCAATGACTGCTGCTAATGAAGATCTACTGTCACAACAGTGTGAGACTTTTTCTATTCATTACATGAGTAATAGAACATTTTTATTGCTTGTCAGGGACACATTTGGACTGTGTAACATGGACCAGGAATGCGTAGGAAACTACTAGTATTTTTCTTCACTTGATGAAAAAGAATTACACTTAATTGCACTAAATGTGCAATTATGGTGTATTTGTCATACTGTTAAATTAAAAGTTTAAATAAAATAAAAAAATAAATAATTGTTTTAATAATCTTTTGTTCATTAAAGTACACTTATTTTTATATTATTTTGATGTGACTAACATACTAAAGCACAGGTAAAGTACTTGATTATAATTTTAACTGTAATGTGTTCATATATTTTACAAGTACTAAATTTCAATGTCATCTTTATGAATAATTATAAATATATGGCATACAAGTTAATTGCAATGAAATTAAAGTATATTTTAGTTTACTATAAATGCTTGTCAGTACATTCAGCAGAACACATTTCAAAATTCAAAACATTCCATTCAATTCACACTTAAGAATATTCTTTTAAAGTAGGCCTATATCATTTCCATAATAAATGCTCTTTTTAAAAGTCTGCTAAAGTGTACATCTTTTTCACAAGGGTGTAAAATGTTCTAAACTACATGAAAAACATAACTGAAGAAAAGTGACCTTGTCTGTAGTGTCTGATTGGTCGGTCTGATTTACTGACATCATACCTCTGTATCTGATGTGTCTCCAGACACAGTGGTGTTGCTGTCCGCTGCTTGCTCAGGACTCGGACAGGAAGTTCTCTCAAGCTCATAATCATAGCCGTTATTTGAGCGCAGGGTAGACATGCCGCTGTCCACGCAGCTGTCGGGAAGACTGTCTTCCTCGCAGCTGCGTCTGCGCATGGGGTCGCACAGGGCCAGAGCCAGAGAATCACAGCTCGGTCTGCACAGACCCTCCATCAGCCCAAACTGATCAAAGTCCTCGTCCACGCACGTGTTACAGCACCTACGGAAGTGTTCAGTGGGTCAACATCACAGATTTGCATTTCCTGAAGGGAATAGTTGTGCATTAGCTTTAGTTCTGTATATAAGTGAAAAGTCGGTTTGCTGACTGCCAGAATCAATGTGACACTGTCTTAGCCATGTAAAGGATGTTATCAAACCAATCATAATTCAGGAAGCAGATATTACAATGACCTCGTCACTGTCAATTTAGAATAGCAAACATTATATCAATTGATTTTCTATATTTCAAACTTCTATATTAAATACAATATATTGGTTATACCATATTGATTATCAGGCGATGTGTGAGATTTATTTTTTATTTATTGTATCAGTCAGTGTTAACCCTGATTTCTCATTTACAACAACAAAAACAACTATAGACATACTAAATAAAATAGTAATAATGGCAAAAACACACAACAAAATTCCTAAACTGAAAACAAATAAAATTAATACACACAAAATTTCACATTTTTGTAAGACACTAATAACTAAATAATACTCGTTAAGTTTGCAAAGGGGTAGAACATTAATATATAATGTTCCAAAAAAAATCCTGGAAAGTTTCCGAAATTTACTGGAAATTGTCCACCTTTTTGCAACCCTAATACTCAAATGTAAATCTCAAAATGAATACTAATTTTTCATACTGTACATGCGATGCTTAAATTCACCTTTATTTTTTCTTTATTTTGACGAAATAGTACAGAATTTCAATATTTGCCATTTATCAGTTTTCAGCCATAACATTAAAACTATTTTAGTTTGTTTTATTGGCTGGAATGTAAATATCGGTGCATCAACCAAAAAAAAAAATAAATAAATAAAAAAAAGACAGCAATAAAGCACAAGTAAAGATTTTAAATGGAGTCTGTATATTTGGGCTAAATTAATGCAGTGGATTACTAATGAAACGAGTTTAGAAAGTGTGATCAACATCCGAACATTTAGACCTCAACTCATACCGATCAAGAATAAGAGTCTTTCTGGTGCTCACGTAAACTCCAGGTGAGATCCCACTAACACGCTGTAAGAGAAAAAGATCATGTCAAATGTAAACTCGAACCCTAATCCACACCTCTTATAAAAACACACACAGTCATCAAAGTATAAGCCTGATCAGCAAACATTGCTCTCAAATACCTTAATCCATTTCACAAGAGCATCCACAGTAAAGAAAGGCTCTGGACACAGGAGGCTCTTACCTGCATCTTACTCTTGCTCTGACTGTTCTCCAGCGCCACACGCAGACTGTCATTACTGTCATGGAGCTTTCTGTTCGCTGCCCTGGACATGAAGAAACAGCAGAAACATCATTTTGCAAAGTAGCAGCTTCATTTTACTCTGATGCAGTCAGCACCTTCAGAAAATCAAGCCACTTACAAACTGGATGGATGGATACGCTGTGTGTCTCTTAAAATAGACAGCGTTAACAAGGCTCTTCACACTTATACGAAGCTGTGATTAATTGCTGCATTGGCTTTGGTTACATGTTAGAAGTTGAAAGATCTCACAGATACAGAGGGAGTGAAACTGTCATTAGTCTGGTAGGTAATAACCATCTGTGCAAGACCATATTATTAACACTAAGCAGAGAGGAGCACAAGGCATCTGTTAACTTTTTCATGTTAATCTCTGGAAAACAATTTCATCCCATTATCATTCTTTGAAATGACAAGTTTCATGAGTAGGTTAACGGTCAGGCCACATGGCTACATGTATTTAAAAATGCATTAAAACGTTTAAAAAAAGAAAATTGCGTTTAAAAAAAAAAGGCAATTGTAAGATATAAAGTTGCAAATATAAAAAAAAGCAAACCCTACTTATAATTTTAGCTTCTGCGGTGTTGCCTAAAATGAAAGCACACATTTTTCTTCACTCCTGCAGAAGTAATGTAAAATATTAAATGTATTTAATAATTTTAGAACACTTCAAAATCTAAATAATACTTTCTGAAACATTAGCAAATACTGCTCTCTGTTTCCTTACTGTCACACTACACTCGGGGAGGATTGGAACGAGGAGACGCTGGAGAACACTTCATGGAATTTAATAGAATCAGCAACGGGGAAAACACAGTAACTCATGGAAGACATTTAATTGAATCAAGGGAACCAGGAAGACACATAGCAGAAGACATCAACAAGCAGAACCGACAAAAACCTAACTGAAAGGTTTTTTGGGGCTTTTAAACACAGGATAACGAGGGACTAAGGAGACACACCTGGAATCAAATTAACAATTAATGAAACACAGCTGGACACAAATGATAACCAATGAGGACAGGACACAGCAAGAACCAAATAAGGGCAAACCGGATCATACATGTGACAGATCGCCCCCCCCTCGCAGACGTAACAGTACCATCGGGGGGGGGGGGGGTCAGGAGGCCATGGCGGAGCAGGTAGTTCAGGTTGCCATGGCGGAGCAGGCTGGCTCGGCCACGGGTATATGGCCCCCCAAAAAAAATTCTTGGGGAAATCTAGGAATCCTGGGGGGAGCTCTGGAGGGGATTCAGGGACTGGAGCTTGCCACAGGAACTTCAGAACTAGACTTCGGAAAGACCGGCAGGCTTGGCTGAGGAACGGCTGGCGGAAGGGTCCCGGATTGGGATCAGAGGCTCTCCAGACACCAGATGACTGCCTCCTTCCAGTCGAGGTTGGTGGTGTCTTGGAGCTCCGCGGGGCGATGGCAAGTAATCCTGATCCGGAACAGCGTCACAAGGGTTTCCCCCTCGAGGGAGCTGGCGAGGGCGAGCGGCATGAACGCTCTCGCTTAGCTGACAGGGTCGGGGCTCGCCTGAGCCACGGTGATGAACATCGCTCGTTCCTCCATTTGGGCAGGGAGAAACGAATGAGGGGGGAAAAAAAGCAAAAACACTATTCAAAAAACGAAAAACAAACACGGGTAGAAGGGGCGCTGCTTACTGTCACGGTCTGCTGTTCTGTCACACTACACTCGGGGAGGATTGGAACGAGGAACGAGGAGACGCTGGAGAACACTTCGACATGGAATTTAATAGAATGAGCAACAGGGAAAACACAGGAACTCATGGAAGACATTTAATTGAATCAAGGGAACCAGGAAGACACACGTAGCAGAAGACATCAACAAGTAGAACCGACAAAAACTAACTGAAAGGACTGGGGCTTTTAAACACAGGATAACGAGGGACTAAGGAGACACACATGGAATCAAATTAACAATTAATGAAACACAGCTGGACACAAATGATAACCAATGAGGACAGGACACAGGAAGAACCAAATAAGGGCAAACCGGAACATACACGTGACACTTACAGTTTGTCTTTGTTTTTTAGTATGCTTCAGAAGATGCAAGACAACGAGAGTGAATGTATATGGCATGTGTATGTTATTGAAACAGCCATTTTCAATAGCAGATTTTATTTTTTTATTTTTTTTAAAAAGGAAAAAATTTAATGGAGATGCAATAAGAAATTAAACTTGGAATTGATTGTATTTAAAGATGCTTGGGATTAAAATTGGAAGACGTGTAAATATTGAATTAATTATCCTCAGTTTTTGACCTTAATAAGTCTCAAAGTTCCTTGTAAGTGCATCTGGCTGCTGGACTCCATCTCCGGTTTAAATGTGTGTTTTGATTTGTTTTTATGATTTCTCAAATTACCTGAAAGTGAATCTATCTCAAAATGGCTTAGAAGCAGCGTTATATAAAAAACTAACTATTTGAAGGCATATCTGGTGTTAGCACGAAGAGCTTCTACAAGTGCTGTGTGTGTTCAACTCACTGAAGCACCTCGATCTGTCTCTCCAGGTTCCCTCTCTCCTCAGAGAAGCACTTCATAAGAGCCTCATCTCTGTACAAACACACAGATCGACATATTTAGGATGAACCTAAATATTAACCTTAGGGTTATCCTTAACATATAGGATCATGGTATCTAAAATATGGTCATGCAGAATAAGGCATTAACATGCGTTTAACAAGTACTAATAAACAGCCAATATTCTAGTAATATGCATGCTAATAAGCAACAAGTTAATAGTCAGAATTGGTCCCTATACTAAAGTGTTACCAGTTTCATCTATCTTAAGCAGCTTTTTCTACTGTTCGAATCTGTCATAGCTTTCGTTGGTTTCACCTAATGTCCTCAGGTTGATGATCAGTCATTAAATATTTGGGTAACCTGACCCAATATTCTAGTAATATGCATGCTAATAAGCAACAAGTTAATAGTCAGAATTGGTCCCTATACTAAAGTGTTACCAGTTTCATCTATCTTAAGCAGCTTTTTCTACTGTTCGAATCTGTCATAGCTTTCGTTGGTTTCACCTAATGTCCTCAGGTTGATGATCAGTCATTAAATATTTGGGTAACCTGAAAACATTTTTACACCATAACACTCATTATACTAATGCTGGGACACTCACACACAGGTAAACTGCACTCTGTTTTGTAGTTACTAGGTGACAAGGTTCAGACATTCCTGTGCAGTGTGACGCGTGACACCAGGATATCCTGCTCGGATGATGTCAGCACTGCAAACACTCACAAAACTGGTTTACAGCTGCTCACAGTCATCATGCAGGGAAATTGACACATTATTGACATTACACATCCAGCTGGGAGTGTCAGACTGAGTCAGAAGATACAGTCTGTGTTACTTCAGAGTACATATTTGATGGACTTTTTAGAAATTCCTGGTCTGAAGATCTGAATCCAAAGGGTTATCACATATTCATCAATAACTAAGGCCCAATCCCAATTCTACCCCTTAGCCCTTCCCCTTTCCCCTTTCGCGCGTTCACGTGAAGGGGTAGGGGTGTCTCGATTCTCTTTTGGTCGGAGGGGTAGGGGTAAGGGGAAGGGCCAGACAGCCCTTCAAATGAAGATTTTTCGGGACCACACTTCAAATGAAGGGGTATGAATTATCTCAGCGTAAACCTGCTTCAGCGGCAACATGGCTGCCCAAGCGAACAAAAAGACACATAAATGTAAGCATTTTTTGGCATTAATAAAGATTTTAACAAAAAGTAATCATTTGTTTTAAGTTACTTTCAACCGTGAGTTCGTATTTACGGTCATGTTACTCAAATAAATGTTTGCAAAAAATCGCTAAAGCTTGCTAACGTCATTTCATTACAGACTGCACAATAGTGCCACAACATATTTTCATGTCTGATCAGGGCGATAACCAACGTAGACATTGAGGGGGGCTAGTCCCCCCAATAATTATAAATTGCTAAACCCTTTTCTCAAATATTGCCAATTCGAGAGATGAAAGTTGCGTGTATGCGAGTCAAAAACAGCAATTTTATCCTCTTGTTGCTGGAAAATATAATGTAGCGATTCAGTATTTAAACTGTTATTAATAAAAGTCGTGGGGCAGCGTTGACAAGTCTCTTTGCCCCTGGATGTGTGAGCTGCGCGATCTCTGATATGTGTGTGTGTGTGTCAGTAAGCAGCGCATTAATATAGAACGGTAATTAAAGACTCTAATGCACACCAGCACA